AAGTTCATGTTGGTACAAAATGTGCGGTTTAAGATCAGGGTCTGTTTGGGGGCATGTGGATATCCATGCTTCCAGCACTCTGGAAAACGCTCCTTCCTCTATCCAGTTGCTGATACCTTTTTTTTCTTTTTCTTTCTTTTTTTTTTTTGGACAAAAGTAAGTTACCACAATCAGATACCACTTCATACCTACCAGGATGGCTGTTCCCCAAAAAGGGAAAATCACAGATATTGCTGGCAGCCTCCTACACCGTGGGCGGACACCTAAGCTGGTGAAGCCGCCGTGGAAAACAGGCTGGTAGTTGTTCAAACGGTTCAATACAGAACTACGCGATCACCTAGCAGTCCTCCTCCCGGGTGTACCTCCAGACGCATTGAAAGCAGAGACCTGGACAGCCCCTCATACCGGCGTTCGTGTTGCGTTATTCACTAGCTAAGAGGTGGAAGGGACCCAGCGTCTGTCAACAGATGGGATGTGACAGACACGGCGGAGCATTATTCAACCCCAGAAATGAATGGGCTTTTGAAAAAAATGCTACAATATGGGGTGGACCTTGACAACGTTACGCCTGGTGAAATAAGCCAGACAGAGGAGAGATGTTCATAAGCCCTCACTTACGTGAGATAGCTAGAATAGGGAAGTGCACAGAGTCGGGAGAACAGAGGTTGGGATGGTGGGGGGAGGGGGTTGCTGGGAGCAGGAGGGAATGGGGAGCCATTGTTCAGTGACCGCAGGGTTTTTGTCTGGGATGCTGAAAAAGTCCCGGGTGTAGACGGTGATGTGCACGAACCCGCGGCTGTTTTTAATGCCGCTGAATTAGGCGCTTTACCGTTGGTTAAGATGATAAATATTCTGTATGTTTTAAGAAAGAAGAAAAATCAGTGTTTTTAAAACCAGCACGTATATCTGTGGGGGTCTGTGGGCTCTCTCTTCTGCTCGTTGACCCACGTGTTTATCCACACTGTGTCATTACTGTGGCTGGGGGAGGGGGGGCAGGTGACACCTCCACCTTCTTCTGTTCCTGAACCGAGCTGCTCTAGGGCCCGGGGGCCTGTCATTTTTGGAGTTCCTCGCAGGCTTCCTCGTGTGGCAGGTGGTGCCGTAGGTTTACCCGGTTTCAGGGTCACCCTCGGCACCTGCCTCGTCCTCAGCTCCCATATCTGATTGATCAACAAGTGTTGCTTTTCTTGGCAGACAAAGAGCTCTGGTCTGTCCCCCACCCCCCTCTCTGTCCTGCCGTCCCAGCCACCTTCATCATTTGCAGGGAGCGGTGCTGCCTCTTGTCACTTGTCCCTGCACCCACTCAAGCCACCTTGATCTGGTCCTCTGCGGACAGGACAGCCAGAGTTGTATTTCCAAGTGCAGGCGTGTCCTTGGCCCCTTGGCTGGCTCCTGCCCCTCTCTGGCCTGGATCCCCCACACCCTCATCCCTCCAGCGAGCCCTTCTCTGCTGGGATCTCACACTTCATTGGTGGGATCCTTGACTAGAGGCCCCACCAGGCAGGGACGGAGCTGCATCCCCCGCCCTGGGGGCATTTGGTGGCCTAGCATTGGAGTTTCTGTGGACAGTATGGGTGGGGTGTGGTAGGAGAAGGTTGCATGCCGAGGGCACCCAGGACCCAGGGAAGGGAAGGTGAAGAAATGAGCCCAGAGAGGCAGGGAGAACTTGGGGAATGGGGGGGGTCCCTGGAGAGGAGATGGCTTTAGCTGTGCAGGCCCTGGTAGGGTTTCAGCAGGAGAGAGACATCAGTTGGATTTTACAAAAATCTCCCTGGCCCCTGGAGGAAACTCGGCTTTGTGGAGACACTTGGCAGGCACGGATGGCCTGGGCAGGGTTGGGGGGCTGGGGGCAGGCAGCCCTCACTTGGGCAGCTTGGCAGTCATGATCCTGGCCGCAGCAAGGCCACTTCTGGGCCTGTGGCCCATGGCCGCGCTGGCCCACCCGCGAGGTGACATCTGTGCACAGGTGTCATGGCCGTGCCATTTGTGAGAGCACAAGGCCGGAAACCACCTAGCTGGCCCTGTGGGGACCAGCTCCAGGCACAGTCGCCCTTCTACGCTGCTGCTCAAGCAGCACCACAAGCGCTTTCAGAGACGGAGTAGTCTTGGAAAATCACTAAGATGTAGATACTTTTTTCTTTGTCTTTAACATTGTAATTTTAAACTGTTCGCATGCACCTTGAGTATAAAGCATGAATGTGCAGCATGACTGGTTACTCTAGAGAGAAAACCCACGCAGCCGCCTCCCCCCAGGTGAAGAAGCAGGGGGTGCCAGCCCCCCCAAAATTACCCCCCGCAGGCCCTCCCCTGACTCTGGAGGCCCCCACTGCCTTGCGCTTCCCCTTGGTCTTGCCAGCTCTGTACGCAGCCCCAAACGGTATGTTTCATTCCCCAAACGGTATGTTTCATTTTGTCCAGCCTTGAGCTTTTTCTAAACAAAGTTACAAGACGTATCCTTTCACGTTTTCCTGCTTCCGTTTTGGTTTCATTCACCTGTAGCTGTGGGTCATCTATTCTCACTGTCGTGCACCATTCGGGGGAGCCAGGAGATCCCCGATCATCATCAGTCCACCTCGGACCAGCACTTGGCTTGTTTTCCAGTCTCTGGCTGATTCAGCCCGAGCTGCAGAAACGTCCCCATGCATGTCCCCGAGGCAAGCAGGCTGGATCTTTCGGCTCCATACCCAGGGGGGCGCTTTTCTAGGTTTGAGGGAGTGTGCCTGGGAGAGCATTCCCGAGGTCCCCAGTGTGTGTCTTCCCCTCCACTGGAAGCTGCTAGGCTCCTCCCGGGGCAGGGGTGCGGGGGAGCCAAGGACTGTTTTGGAGAAAAGCGAGGTCAGAATAGTATGCATGGTGTGCTGCCATTTATGTACTTAGAAGAGGTGTGTAAGTGTGTGTGTGCACACGCATCCATGCGCACGCACGTGTAGGCTCTCTTGGAAAGGAAAGAGGAGAGAGATGGAGCCCAGATATGGCAGCTTGTTAATAGTTGAGAAGCCAAGTGACCAGCTTTACATGGGTTTATTGGTTTAGTCTTGGTTTGGGGGTATGTTTACGAAGTTTCATAACTGTCTCTTCCGGTGCGAGATGATCCTAGGGCAAGCTCTCCTCGCTCCCGAAGCTTGGCCCCCAGGAGTACCCCTCACTTGTTTCCACTGCGACTTCTGGGGAAAGGGTACTTCCTCCTCCCCCTCTCCCCCATCCTTCCCCTTGGGACTTGGTTTCCCTTGGCTCAAAACTGCCCAATCCTGACTGCCTCCTCAGCCAGAGCCCAAACCTGCCTGTCCGGTTTGGGAAGGTCTGGGGGCCCACCCACTTGGCTCCTGTGCTGGTGGTTGCCTGACCAGCGCTCCCCCCGCCACCCCAGAGAGGAGGGAGTGGCCTGGGATCTAGGACTTCTGGGGTCTCCTAGACCTGCCCTGCTGTAGCCCCAGGCCCAGCCTAGGCCTGGCTGGGAGCCCCTGGTTGGATGGGCAGGTGGAAGGCAGGAGGAGGATTTCCGGGACCTTGGAGCCGGGGATCCCAGGTCCCAGTGATAAAGTCCTCAGGGAGTTGGCTGCAGTGGGAGTGGTCTCCGTGGAGGTGCCAGAGCCAGGGAGGGGGAAGGACACAGGCGTCTTTATCCACCTGCCTGCCTGGGCCACTTGCTGCTTCTCACGGTCTCACCATCGACTGGGCACCTGTCCTGGGCCGCCTGTGAGAACTTGAGAACCTGGTCCCTACTGCTCACAGGAGTTCTGTCTAGTTTGCTCACTGCTGAACTGTCAGGGCCTCCCAGCGGGCTCGCCTGGCAAGTGCTAGGAGCTCAGGAAATATGTGACCGAACAGGGGAGCCAGACATCAGGAGGGCTCAGCCCTGGGATGGAGTCTAGAGGAGGTACCAGACCCAGCCTGGTGTCAGGGAGGGCTTTCTGGAGGAGAGGGTGCCTGAGGCAGGCCCTGAAGGGTGACTGGTGATGAACCAGGCAGCCCCATCCCCCTGCCCCCCAAGTCCCCTGTCAAGGGCAAGACAGACAGATAAGTACAACCCAGGGAGCCCTGACCTGGGCCCGGGAAGACTTTGCCGAGGAAGTAAGATCTGGAGGGGGAAGGAGGTGTGAGGCAAAGGGGCGGCAGGGTGTGCACACCCCTTCTAGATGACTCCTGTCTGAGCATCTTCTTCCTCTGTCTGGAATGGGGGTTCTGGGCAGGCTAGCCTCATGCTCAGAGCAGCTGCCTGGGAAGCCTGGTGCCAGACCCCCCCTGCAGGGTGCCTTGGGCAAGTCTCTGGACCTCTCTGGACCTCAGTTTCCCCCATTGTAAAATGAGCCTGTTAAAAAACCTGTCCCTTAAGGGCCCTGCTGGGGGCAAATGTCTTGGGTCAGTGCTAAGAGCAGGGCCTGGCCCAGGGAAAGTTCTCTGAGGAGTTGGGCCCCTCACTTTCAGGTTAGTTGCATCCTGACGTGGCTGGCAAGACAGAGCCAGCCCTCCCCACCTTTCTTCCTCCCCATTTCCACCATTCACCAGTCCTACTTTCACATCTGGAGATGGCTACGTCTGGGGTCCACTGTGACCTGCCCCGCGTCTAATAAGAGAGTGAGATGAAGTGGGGAGAGGCCCCCTTCATGCACCCTCTTGGGGTTCTGGCTGGAATTACCGGGTGGGGGGCCAATCCGGCAAGCTCTGGCTCTCTAACCACCCAGCCTCATCAGAGAGCACCTCCCTCTGTCCAGCCCCCCCATCCCCAACTGTCACTTCAAACCTGGCCGCCCTGCCAGCCACTCTCAGCCACTCAGCCCTGTGTGGTGTGGCCCCTGCTGTCCTGGCTCCTGGTGCCAAGTCTGGCCCTGGGGGTGCATGGGTGCTTGTGGGAGACAGACCCTGTTAGAGCAAGGGCTGAGGTTTGTGTCCCCTGCTTCTGTGTCCCTGCCCAGCCCTTCCCTCTGCCAGGGCAGTGGTGGCCCAGTGGCCCAGGCTTTCCGGGCTCAGCCCCTCCTTCCCTCTGTTCCGCCCTCCGCCCTCGCCCTCCATGGACTGGAGCCACAGGCAGCCCAACTCCTGCCAGGGCAGGGCCAAGGCACCACCCACAGCCAGGGAGGCCAGAGTGCGGAGCCAGCCAGCTCCCCTAGGTGGGTGGCTCACGTCCAGGGCCAGGGGAGCCCCTTGCTCCCCATTCCTGCCCTGCCAGCTGGAAGCCTGTCTGTCCACTGCCCTCTCCCACTGACGGTGGCCCCAGGACCAGGGAGGAGGATGGCGGAGGTGAGCTAACCCTGTCCTCCACAGGGCAGAGGGGGGAGGAGGGAAGGAGAGGGGAGGACTGCCCGTGGGAGGGTGTCAGCCTATGCTCAGGGACCACCCCTTTCTTGGTCAGAGCCAGGGGCGAGGTCGCTCTGTTTCCGTGTATTCCCAGGCAGGTGTTTCGTCTGCTGGCACTTACCACGTGCCTCCGCCCAGGTCCCTGAGTGCCTCCGGGGGAGCTCAGTCCTGGGGTCTGGTTCTAAGGGGGGTGACTCGGAGGGGCTATGCCTCACTGGGTCACCCTGGATAACCCAGGAGTTGGTGGTGGGCGTGCTGGGGTCTGTTGTGGGGTCTCCTTTCCTCCTATGTGTGGATCTAGGGTGTGTGAGTCTTGTGGTCTAACACTGTGGCTGGGGGAGTGTACCCGGGTGTGTGTGTGGGGTCCTTTCCAGGCATGTCCGGCGGTTAGGGAGCCTCTGGGGTTGGCTGTATGCACGCATGGGCCCGCGTTCTGAGCTGGTGGCTGGTGTGTATCATGTATATTGCCGGTGTGTGTTGCGGGTCTCTTTCATGAGTCTGCGCATCAGGGGTGTGTGTGTGGGTCTTTATGCCATTTGTGGAGGGGGTCCTGGGTCCATGGCTTCTTCAGGGACCCAGCTGTGGGCCGCCTGATTGTTCTGGCCTTTCTGTTGGGAGAGGTTCCTCTGAGCCAGGCCTCTCTTTCTGACTGCTTCCCTGGCATTCTCGCACTGAGGCCACAAGGCTCTGGTGGGGTCTGCTGGGGCTGATATTCCAGAGGAGGGGCCTAGGGCTCAGGGTGGGATGTCCTTTTCTGGGCCAAGGCTGCTGTGTGGCTGCGGAGGCTTCTCATGCTTCAGAATTGAGGACTCCGTGTGTGTGTGTGTGTGTGTGTGTGTGTATCTACGTATCTGTGTGTGGAGCAGGGAGTCGCGTGGCGGAGGAGGGCTGTCCCTCTTTCCTGTTACCCCCCACCTTCCTGTCCTGCTTCAGGAAGAATGAATGGAGTCTGATCTGATTTTCCTGGTCCTTGGGGTCTCGCCCACACTCTCAGATTTATTGTGGCATCCATCCCTACCCTGGGCACCTCTGGGGGGTGACGGACGCCAACAGTGCCCTTTGTGTCTGTGTCCTGTTGGGCCTGGATTGGGAGGAGGCACCTGAGCCAGGGGCTGCCAGCCTCGGCCTCCCTGGGGACTCGGAGCACCAGCCCAGTGGCTCCAGGAAATACCTTCTCTTCATTTAGCAACACTGTTTGAGCTGCTCCCCACCCCGTGTTGGGCAGGGCTGGGGACACAGGGTGGCTGGGATGGCCCCAGGCGCTGCCCTCTTGGGGGCTCCCAGATAGCACAGCCCATTCTCTGATCAGAGCCCTGAGAAAGTAAGACAGCAGAGACTGTAAGGCTGGACCCTTGCACTGGGCTGGAGAGAAGTGTGTGCAGCACCCTCTTCTGTTTATCTGTTCCTGCCCCTGTGCATTCAGCAGCAGCAGCAACAATGGCCATGGTAGTGCCAGCGGGGTAAACTGTAGCAAGGACCCACTTGGTGGCAGCATATCTCTCTGCCGAGTCCTTGCCCTGCACGGCCTATGCAAAGGCCCGGTGCAGAGAGATGGCGCACATCTGGCCAGAACATGAAGGGCAGGGCTGTTCCTCACGCCCCAGACTGCTGATGCCAGCTGCTTCCCAAGGCCAGGGTGACCCATGGATCTGTGTCATCCTGTGGGATTTCACACGTTACGGGGGCTGGTGGATTTCCGGCAGCATCTCTTGCCATGTGACTTGCCTCTTGCCTGTAGCCACAGTGGGCTGCCACGTCCTCACATTTCCAGCCGAGGCAGCGTGGCTGGAGTGGGCGTCCCTGGGATGGGGTGGACCCAGGAATAGGATCAATGTGGGCACCTCTTGTGGCATTTGGAGCATAGGCCAGCTTATTCACAAAGAGCCAGATTTGGTCTCTCAGGACTGGGACTGGTTCCTGTTTAGGCATGAAGGTCCGACTTCCAGGCAGTGTGGGACGGGCGCTGGGGGCCTGTCTGCCCTCGCCCCCACCTCCCTTGCCTGTTCCTCCTCAGGGTCCAGACTGCTCAGTTGGCCGTGGCATCGTTCATTTGTGCCACAAACACTTGCTGAGTGTCTGCTGCTCTAGATGCCAAGGATACAGCAAAAAAGACAAGGGCTCCAGCTATCAGGGAGCCTTTGTTGGGGGCCAGGGAGGAGAGGGGATCCACGGTCTGCATTTATGTGATGTCAGATGGTAATAAAGGCCACAGAGAAGTATAAAGTGGGGGTGCAGATTTTGTCAGGATCCACAAAAGACTTCTCTAACGAGGTTTTATTTCTTAGAGATTTTTATTTATTTGAGAGAGAGCACACGCACAGAGGGAGAAGGAGAAGCAGACTCCCCACTGTGCAGGGAGCCTGATGTGGGGCTTGATCCCAGGACCCCAAGATCATGACCTGAGCCAAAGGCAGACACTTAACCTACCAAGCCACCCAGGTGGCTCTCTAGGAAGGTTTTATTTGCACAAAGACCCAAATATCAGGAAGGGGTGAGCCATGCAGCTCTGGGCAGAGGGAGTAGTAGGTGCAAAGGCCCTGAGGCTGGAACAAGCTTGAGGTGTCCACGACTAAAATGTAGGAGGCCAGCGCAGGTGTAATGAAGTGAGAGGAGGGGTGGAGTCCTGAGGATGGCGGAGCGCAGCTGGGCAGGGCCTTGGTAGGGCACAGTGGAGAACTTTATCCCCGTTGGAAGCCCTGGAAGAACTGTTTGTTTAGCATTGCTTCTGGTTCCCTCCTAACCAAGGCAGCCTTGCTGATCTTGGTTCTGGTCATTGACAGTAGAGTTGTCTCTGCCCTCACTCTTGTCCCATGAACTTCTGGGGTCCTTTGTCTGGAGCACAGGCCTTGGCTGGTGCTGGGGCTGCTGGCAAACCGTGAGTGGAGGGGGCAGCGACAAGGCCGCCTCTGCGGCTCAGCACGGGCGCTTTGGTGACCTGGCAGTGAATTCCCCTCTCTGGGTCCTGTTGTTCTGGTTTGGGAAACAGGAAGGAAGAGGACTCTCCCCCGCAACCCAGTCACCTAAGAATGGTCGGGAGGGCTCAGGGTGGCCTGGTCTGCACATCTGGCCTGAAGCTGGGCTGGAGTCAGCACCAAAGCACACACACACCCCCTACACCCCCCGCCGGCGCTGAGCCACTGACTTCGTGGGAAGCATGAGGCACACGCATCACTGTGGGACGCATCAGGGGATATGAAGGGCCAGGAGAGGGTAGACAGGACGAGCCAGTCACTGGGAGTGTGGTGATGGGCAAGACCGGACCCAGCACCCGCCCCCGTGGCGCTCTTGCTGCGGCTAGTATGGAAGATGGTGTCAGTTGTCAGCAAGTCCTGTCACCTAGGCCGTTCCACCATGCCCAGAGCCTGCCCGCTTCTCCCTCCAGAGCCCCCACGTGGTCCTGCCTGCCCCTCGGCTGTCACGTCCTCCGCCTCCCTGGGCTCCACGTGGCCACAGTCCAGCCTGTGGCTGCCTGAGTCAGACTACAGCCCTCCCCTGCTCAGAGCCCTTGTGTGGCCCCACCTCCCTCTGGGGAAAGGACGGAGCTGTCCGCGTGGCCCATAATGCCCTACGTCATCTGCCCCCACCACTGGGCCTCCTCTGCTCTGACCACATCAAGCACGTCCCCACCTGGGGACAGTTGCACTGAATCTTCCCACTCCTGGGTGTCCACGTGGTTCCCCCGCCCCTTCCCTGCTCGGGTCCCTGCTCAAGGGTCACCTTCCCAGCCAGGCCCTCCCTGACCTTTTCACTGAAACTTGCAGCCTCTCCTGGCCCTCAGCACTCTCTTGATCCTTGCTTTGTGTATGTTCTCAGCATTTACCCTCTGACTCAACTAGATATTTTTCTGATTTAGCTCATTTATCAACTGTCTCCATGTGAGCTCTGTCCACAAGGGCTGGGATGCTTCTGGCCGTTCTGACCGCCACTGGGAGCCCCAGCCCCGGTCTGGCAGAGAGCAGCCCTCAGTAGCTACGGACAGTAAGCGGGTGTGTGAGTGTGATGGGGTCCTTTGGGGTGTTTGCCAAGGAGTGGGCTCGGGCACGTTGTCGGGCCCAAAGCTCAGGATGGCATCTGGGGTCAAGATCCCTGGGGACTCCTGGAAAAAAAAAAAAAAAAAAAAAAAAAAAAAAAAAAGGTTTGGGACTAGGGAAGGCAGGGGCTGTACAGATGGGCACCTGAGAGCTGAGCAAAGGGGGGGGGGTGGGACAGGTGTGGGGGGTGGGGGGGGGCAGTGAGGATTCTGCTGGGGGCCAGTCTCCCTCCTTTGTCAGAGCCCAGCCCCAGGAGACAGAGTAAACTGAGGTGGAAAGGGGCTTCCCTGAGCTAGTAGCTAAAAGTCTTGGCAGGGGCGCCTGGGTGGCTCCAGGGGTTAAGCCTCTGCCTTCTGCTCAGGTCATGATCTCAGGATCCTGGGACGGAGCCCCTGCATGAGAATCCCTGCTTAGCAGGGAGCCTACTTCTCCCTCTCCCTCCTGCTTGTGCGCTCTCTTGCTATCTTGTTATCTTGCTTTTTCTCTTAAATAAATAAAAAAGTCTTGATAGAAAGGGGGGTGGGCACCAGTGGTGGCAGCCCTGAGTGCCAGCTGGGGACAGTGGCCTGCCTTCATGGTCCCCTTCCTGATTGAGGGTTTCATTTTGGAGACTGATCTTGGCACATCCCCTGCTTTTTTCTTGGGCCCCTGGGTTCCCCTTCATCAGCTCCCCGAAACTGCAGGGGAGAAAGCTTGTTTCAGAGGGGTGGGGGAGGAGGGTAGGAGACGGAAGGTAAGGAGTTTTTGCACACACGTGCACACACACACATTCCCCGGATGACTTTTGCTACAGGTGCATCTCGCTCTTCCACCAGAGTGGATTTCTGTGGTGGGGAGAGTCAGGCATGGGGTGGGTGGGTATCATTTTCTTCCCATGAACGCTCAGGAGGATGGAACCAGCGAATGCAGGGATGTCTAGAAACTTGGCAGCTTTGGCTAGGACAGGCTGGAAACTGTCCTGTCCCCTATGTCGAATAATTCAAAAGCCTTTTTCTTCATTGCAGTGAACGTTTGAGAGTAGGGTGCGGAACGTGCCTGCATTCGTGGGATCAGACACGGGGCTTCAGCGGCATCTGTGTCCTGGCTGGTGGCTGCACGCTGTCCCACCCCACCCCCCACCACCACCCCATTCCCTCTAAGGTTGCTGTTTCACCCTCTCCTGGAGTTTCCCCAAGGACCGCCTGGGCAAAACCGGAGGTGTCTGAGCAGGGGTGTAGTGTAGTGGGTACAGATGAGTGCGTTCATTCACCGGCGGTTCCTCAAGTGCCTGGTATGGGCTGGGCCACATTGTAGACATTGGGGTATAGCAGGGAGCAAGACGGATGACAGGTGCAAAGGGAAAGGGGGACAGGACTGGAGCCAGGGATATTTGAGGACAGACGTGGGTAGAGGGAAGGAGAGGGAGCCATGTACAGATCCGTGAGAATGAAGTTCCCGCGAGGGGGTAACTGCCAGTGCAAAGGCTCCTGAGGTGGGGACGTGTCTAGGGTTTGCAGAACAGCAAGGAGGCCCACGTGGCTGGGGCAGAACGAGCAAAGGGCAGAGGTGACAGGCAGATCATATGGACCACAGGGCCACAGGGACGGGTTTTGGGGGCCAGCAGAAGGTTTAACAAGGTCGATGTTGTAGTGGATCCAACTGGCTTCCAGGCCCAGCTCTGCTTGGTAACCAGAGCAAGAGATTTCACCTTCATGGTCTTCAGTTTCCACATCTGCATGATGGAAATGAGAAGAGCTGCTCCCCCCAGGTCACAGGGAGTCCGTGAGCTGAGGGTCTGCATCTGGGCAGGGTGGTGGGGTCCCTCGTGGTTGGAGGTAGTGATGTCAGTACTGGGGCGGAGCCTTGGAGAGGTACATTTGGTGGCCGGGATGGACGTGTGGCCATCTTTTCCCCTGCAGATTGTCTTGCTGAAGGGGAACAGGAACCCCCCACTCTGGGCTGCCTCCCGCTACCCTCAGGGGGCTGGGACGGGTCGGATAGGAGATGGGGACCCTCAACCCCAGGAGGGGTCAGGGCAGGACCAAAAGGGCAAGTGTGGGGGTGACTGGCTGGCTCAGTGGAGGGAACATGTGACTCTTGATCTCGTAGAGATTACTAAAGATAAATAAATAAATAAACTTGAAAGAAAGAAGGAAGGGCAGGGTGTGGACTTGGGAGGGAGAGAGGAAGTCGCCCTGGAGGCGAAGGGGACAGAAGCAGTGGTGTCCCTGCGGCCCTCAGTGCAAGCCAGGCAGGTAAGAGCGAGGGCTCTGGTGCCCACCTGCTGGAGTTTGAATGCTGGGTGCCCTGGACAAGGGGCTTCCTCGCTCCGGGCCTCAGGCTCCTGGTCTGTGAATTGGGGTTGGTCATTTGTGAGGACAGCCAACAGCGTGCGGCGCGCACGGCCCTCTGATCGTCGCTGCCTTTATTTCTGAGGACTGGTCTGGAGCCACATTTGCACTCTGCTGCCAGGCGGTGGGCCCCGGGCGAGTGGGGTGTCCTCCCTGCACCTCATTCCTCCGTGGCTATAATGTGGGGCTCATGGTGGCTGCGTCCTCGTGGGTCACGTGTGCAGGTGAGATGAGGGGCCCTGGGCGGGGTGCTTGGAAGAGGGGCAAGCACACAGTAGGTGCTTGATGGGTGACTGTGGGCAAGTGCCTTGTGTTCTGTGACTCAGAACCCCAGGGAGCACGGTCTGGCATTATCCTAACAGAGGAGGAAACTGAGGCATGGGGGCGCCGAGCTGCTGGCCACAGGCTGCACGGTGAGCTCCCAAGGTGGCTTGGCTCCCAAGTACAGAAGGTGAGGTGGCCCCGGGACACAGCAGCCAGACTCCTGGGTTCCAAGCTCGCTGGGGAGCCCCTGCGCCCCCTCTTTGCCCACCTCCATGCTCCTGGTGCAGGCACCTAGCTTTGTGTCACAGCTGCCCCACCTTCCCCACTGTGGGCCCCTGTAGAGTTAGGAGTGGGGGGACTTGGTGGGGGCACCACCGGCCGAGGTGGAGGCGCCACCGGCCAAGCTGGAGGCTGCCCCAGGGTGGAGCTGGAGCCTGAGCACTATAAACACGGTCAGTTCCTCTGTTTGTCCCTCCCTCCATGCTGTGCCCAGAGGGAAGGGGTGGCCCCGGGCAAATATCCGGAGGTGTTTCCCTCCATCCCCTTTCCCTGCGGGGTCACATGCCCCTAAGGCAGGATACACTGGGGCTGGCTGTGCGGTGTGTGGATGCCTCTTGGGTTTTATGGGGGCGAGGGCTCTAAGGAGGCCGTCCTAGGCCCCATGGCCTACCCCGACCTGGTCTCGGTGCCGAGCTCCTCCCACCATAGGGTCGCCCCGCCCTCTCCTGGGCTTAGTGAGGGGTCACGTGGTTAATCCTACTCCCCGGAGTGACTTGGTGCCTTGGGCTGTGGGCTGCAGGGTGGAGGATGGGTAGGGCCGAGTGAGAGAGGCCAAGGTGAGGGCTGAGGCCAGGCGTGCCAGATGGGGACCCCTCTGGGAACCCAGCAAGGAGGTGGAGGTGAAGCTGTGGGGTATCGGTGGGAGGATGGGGGAAGGTCTGGCTGTGGGGACAAGGCTAGGACCCGTTTGAGACAGGCTGATGGCTGAGGGCAGCAGAGAGGCTCGGGAGCCAGAACAGGGTGGATGGGGGGCCGGGGATGGAAGTTGAGGTGGGAGGGAAGGGCTGGAATGGGGGGAGACACTGAAAGGGCTCCTGGCTTGGTTGGGGGCAGAGGAGGGGCAGAGGCAGAGGCAAAGAGACCTCCATCCTGGCCAGGGCCGCTGTACCCCACATCTGGGCAGCTGGGGACCCTAGAGCAACAGGGAAGCTGGACCTGCTGGGGGAGCCCTGGCGGGACCTGGCTCTGGCCACCTGCTGCCCAGGAGGTCCCAACCAGTTGAGACAGGTTGTCTGCTGGGTCCCCACCCCCTCCCAACTGGGCGCTGCTGCCGGACCGGTTCTCCTAGATGGCTACCCACTGATGGTCCTGCCTCTGGGCCAGGGCTGGCTTCGAGTTTTCCTGACCTCACACAGCTGCCCCAGTGGAAAGGCGGAATGGCACGGGGAGGGAGGAGAGCCGGGTCTGGAGGACAGCATCCCAGACGCCCGAGAGAGTCCTCAGGTCACAAGACTCACTGCATTTGGGGCTGACCCTATGGGCACCGTGCCAGGCTTTGGGGAGCCAGCCTGAGGCCGGCAAAGAGCCCAGCCCTGTGCCTTTCCCCTCATCTTCTGGGTCTTAGCTCACACAGCCTCTCTTGTGGGAAGCCTCCCCTGCCCCCCGACCCTACCATCCATGCTCAGGCTGGGTCTGGTCCTCCTTGACCCCAGCCTTGACCATCCCGGACCGTCGGAGGCGATCTTGGTCTGGGTCCCCACTGTATCACAAGCAGCCACCAGCACAGGGCTGGGCACAGAGAAGCGAGGTGTTAGCGAATGAATACATGCATATTTTCTTCCCATCTTCCAGATGAGTAACTCGAGGTCCCAAGAGGAGCCGTCACCTGCCGGAGAGCACGTCTAGCACAGCCAGCATCAAACCAGGTCTGTGGGACTCCGGGGCCCGGGTGTGGGACGGGGGTGCAGGACCTAGGGTCCCCCTCCCCCAGACGCCGCTAGGAGCACTCCGGAGTTACCACGGTGGAGCAGGGCCTGAGCTCCGTGCCCTGCTCTGCTCCTGTTAACCCAGTCAGTCCTCAGAGCAGTCCTGTGAGGGGGAGAGAGGTCACGTCACTTGCCCACGGTCCCATAGAGTGAGTGTCAGAGAGAGATTTGTGCTCTGGCCATTTGACTTCCCGTCCCCTCACCACCCTGGTCTCCCTGGGGACACACAGCAGTGCCTCTCCCCCGCGGTCCCTTTGGTTTTCCAAGTGGCTTTTGGTGAGCATTTATACAGTGCCTGGTACCAGCCAAGGTGCCACCTAGAGACCACAGAGCCTAAAGGCAGGGGTGGTTGCGTCTGCTAGTATGTGCTGCACCTTGGAACTTTCCCCACTGCGCCACCCTGGTGAGGAACTCCCTTCTCCGAGCCTCAGTCTCTTCGTCTGTAAAGTGGGTGTGTTAGGGTGAGGCTCCCAAGGGCTGTGCATAGGACAGGGACTAGAAGCAGTTGATGAACAGTCGCTTGGTCACTGAGCATGGGCCACGGGCCAGGCACTGTACTGGGGGTGGGGTAGGACACGGGCACACTGGGCAGATGAGATCTGGCCTTTGGTGCTGATAGTCTAAGGGTTGGGTGTGGGGTGTAGACATCCAACTGGTAAACTCAAGAATGAATGGTAGAATTTTCAGGAGTTAAACGTGCTGTGAAGCTTTGTGATGGAGAGCTAGTGCGACACCTCCTTCACTTGGGGCGGTCAGGAAAAGATTCACCAACCACTCTGAGATCTGAAGGAGTGGGAGGAGGGAGCCATGTGTGGATACTAGGGAAGAGTGTTCCATGAGGAGTCAGTGCAAAGGCACTGAGGTTTGAAAACCATTGTGAGCAAAGGGGGCATAAGAGCAGAGAGGTGACAGGTGCAGGTCATGTCGGAGGGGCCTCTGAGGGCTGAGCAGGGGAGCCTGTTCTCGGGTCCCTCAGGCCACCTGTGGGGGATGGGAGACCAAGGAAGAGACAAGGAGGGACAGGACTGGGGCAGGGCCCAAGGAGCCCAGAGAAATGGGCGGGTTCTGGTGAGCGGCCCCCTCCTGCAGGCCTGCTGAGAGGAGCCCAAGTGTGTGCCCTCGTGGCGCTGACAGCACCAGCGCCATGTTCGGGAAGAAGAAGAAGAGGGTCGAGATCTCCGCGCCATCCAACTTTGAGCACCGCGTGCACACAGGCTTCGACCAGCACGAGCAGAAGTTCACGGGGCTGCCCCGCCAATGGCAGAGCCTGATTGAGGAGTCGGCTCGCCGGCCTAAGCCCCTTGTGGACCCTGCCTGCATCACCTCCATCCAGCCTGGGGCCCCCAAGGTAGGCCAGTGCCCACTGTGGCCTCTCCTGCCCCATACCAACCCCACACGGCGCCCCCAGGCCTTAAACCCACGCTTGACCCTGGGGCCAACATCTCCGTGTTGACCCCCTCCTACTGACAGCCAAACAGATACCCCAACCCTCTAACCTAATCTTTGCCCCAGTCCTGACCTTTCACCCCTCCACCCACCGATCCCTCCCCATGCCTCTCAACACTGATTCCCACCTTGACCCCAGTAGCAGCCCCCCACGCCAGCCTCTGAGTTGTCCTCCTCTCCCTGGGCTCCATGGCCCCATCCCGAGTACCAGAAACTTGTCCTTGGGCAAGGGACAGATCCCCATGGTAGGGCCGAGCTGGGGGCACCCAGAGAGCTGCTGACTCGGCCTCCCCTGCCCCCGTCCCCAAGTCTGGGCCAGCTTTGTGGAGGAGGGGGACACCTGAGCTGTGCCCTGAGAGCTGAGGGAGGAGTCCTGTGGCAAGGAGAGCCTTTTAGCAGAGGAAAGAGTCCACGGGAAGCCTTGGAGGCTTTTTGGTTTGGGGGGTGGTTTTCTGGCCATCTTGAGCAAAAGGGAGGAGTTGGGATTTGAACCACGGTCTGTTTCCACAGTCCAGGCTCTTAGACCCCCTTTGCCATCTGTGCAGTCCCGGCGCCCAGGCATGGCACGGTGAGGCCGGCTGGTAGCAGGGTGTGAACCCGCCCGGCCTGGGAAGCCAGACTCCAAGGCCGGACTTCACCCCAGGGGCAGTGGGAGCCAGGAAGGGCCGAGGGCCAGGGGCACGCAGCCAGGGTTGTTCTGGGGCTGGAGATGGAGATGGGTGTGCCGGTCAGCGGGCCTGTGGCGGGAGACAGGCCTTCGGCTGACTTACCGTCTCCGGGGCCCAGCGAGAGGACACTAACCAGGATGGGCTCCATCCCGCGGCCCCACTGAGGTCTCGGTGCCTCTCCTGCAGGCCTTTTGAATATTTTGAACTCTTTCCTGCTGCTTAAAGCAACGGAGACTTCACATCCGAGGCTGTATTTCTGGCTTCTGCTGACTAATTGCAGGGGCTGAGGGGGTGGCAGCTGCCTCCGCAGGCCGGGGTGCTGGCTCCTCTGTCCCTGCCGGCCCCACCCTGCCTGCCTCGCTTCCGTCCCCCAGCTGGCCCTGGGGCTCCTCCATGATGGCTGTGGCCTCCCTAGGGGACCCCCGAAAATCTAGCCCCTGCTTGGCCCGCCAGCCGTGAGTCCTGTTTGGGCCCATGCCTGCCAGGAAGGGCCACACAAGGGGCCATGGGGACTAGCAGAGTCTTGGGGCCCCTGTGGGTACGTGTTTGCTGCCCCTGGCTGGGAATCTCCCCTTGGCCAGGTCTTCCCAGGCCCTCCCGCAGCCCCCAGCCTTCTTGGCCTCTTATTCCAGCACTAGGGCCTGAGCAGGTGTCTGTCTACCTTGCTTCACAGGGTGCCCAGGCAAGGAGGCAGCCAGGCCCCCAGGAGGCAGGGCGTGGGAGGGAGAGACAAGGGCCGGCCCCTGGGGTTCTGTGGGCTGGAGGTGGGTTTCATGCACGGTGGAGGCAGGCAGTCGTGGCTTGAGGATGTGTGGCAGCCCTGGGCCCCCATCGCCACTGGCCTGTGAGTGAGAGCAGAGGGCCGGGGTTGCGTGTTCCGCTCTTTGCAACATCCTCCCAGCCCACCTCCCTCCCCCGCTGGCTCAGCCCATGTTTCTTGAGCACGCTGTGCACACATACCTGACACCGTGCTAGGTACTGAGATTAGCAAGAGCAGAACAACAGGCAAATACAAAAGTTGTCCTCATGGACATCACAGGAGGAGCAGGTGACAGTCAGCTGACAGGTGCATCAGGACAGCTGGTTTCTAGGGCTGCAGAGAAAGGGAATAGGGGGTGTTAGGGGCTGGCATTTTAGACTCTGGGTGGTCAACGGAAGGTTCCCTCTGAGAAGCTGAGTTCGGGCAAAGGCCTGGAAGAGGAGAGGAGGGAAGGAGCTGAGGGGGAAGATGTTCTAGGAAGAGCAAACAGCCAGTGCAAAGGCCTGAGGTGGGCCTGTGCCTGGTATGTTTGAGGAGCAGTGAGGAAGTTTGTGTGCCCTGAGCTGAATGGGAGATGGGGGGTGTATTCCTGGAGGCCTTGACTCTATTTGAGGGAGGAGGCGGCCGTGACCAGGATCAGGGTGCTGGGCTTGGCAGGCGAAGTTTGGGTGGATTCTGGGTGGATTCAGGGCACATGTTACATTCACCAGGCCACGTGGGAATTCCCATTTGCCACCACTGCTCCTGGACTTCGGGCCCAGTCCTTTCTGACTCTCCCTGTACTCTACCCTTGGCTTCTGGGGGACAGAGCATGGGTTTAGGATTAACAGCCCTGGCGGGCAGCAAGGGAGGAAGTCCAGGCCGGGCCCTGGGCCCAGCATCCTGTAATTTGCAGCTCTCCAGGACTGATTATGGGGTGGCATGGGCTCTGCGCTCCTTCCCTCCCGCCCACAAGGCAGAGACCTGCCCCCAGGCTGGAGAAGGGGAGACAGGGGGATGCTTTTTAGGGGGACTGGCCAGTCCAGGGACAACAGCCTGACCTGTGGGAGGTTACCCCTTCAGCTTTCTTCCTGCACCAGACCACTTGGGGGTGTGGGAGGGGCTGCAGGGGCCCCTCTGGTGCCACCCCCACCCACCCCGCCCCATCATCACCCCATGGCATTTCTTCATTCCGTCTCTGTCTTGTCTCTGTGTGTGTGTTGTGTTGTCCTGTCCTTGTGTGTCGGATACACGTCCTGTGTCCTCCTCTTCCTTGCCCGGCCCCCATCCCGCCATTGCCCTGGACCCCAGACCATCGTGCGGGGCAGCAAAGGCGCCAAGGATGGGGCCCTCACGCTGCTACTCGACGAGTTTGAGAACATGTCGGTGACGCGCTCCAACTCCCTGCGGAGAGACAGCCCCCCGCCACCTGCCCGTGCCCGCCAGGAAAACGGGATACCCGCAGAGCCAGCCAGAGCAGCCCCAGAGAAGGCGGGCAGCCAAGGCCGGGGTGCCGGTCGCAGTGAAGCGGGTGGCAGCAGTGGTGACAGGCGGCGGGTGGGGCCAGAGAAGAGGCCCAAGTCTTCCAAGGAGGGCTCAGGAGGACCCCAGGAGTCCTCCCGGGACAAACGCCCCCTCTCTGGGCCTGACGTCGGCACCCCGCAACCTGCCGGTCTGGCTGGTGGGGCCAAAGCGGCAGCTGGTCGGCCCTTTAACACATACCCGAGGGCTGACACGGACCACCCGGCCCGGGGCGTCCAGGTAACCAGTCCCCCTGCCCCGGGACCTCCCACCGCCCCTTTGTCCAAAATGTCCCCTGTTCCCTGCCCACCAGCGCCAGCCTATGCCCAGCCCACTGTCCATCTCCATCCTGACTGCCATGTTTCTGTCCCACAGACAGGGCCCCTCTCCCACACAGGGAGCAGAGCTGGCCCCCTGCCCCTCCACTAACAGCTGCCTGTCTTTTCTGTTGCAGGGGGAGCCTCATAGCCTGGCCCCCAACGGGCCATCGGCTGGGGGCCTGGCGGTCCCCCAGTCCTCCTCCTCCTCCCGGCCTCCCACCCGAACCCGTGGACCCCCCAGCCCAGGAGTGCTGGGTCCCCATGCCTCTGAGCCCCAGCTGGCTCCTCTAGCCCGCCCTGTCGCTGCCCCTACCCCTGCCGGGCCCCCGGCCCCCGGGCCCCCCGGGCCCCGCTCGCCACAGCGGGAACCCCAGCGAGTGTCGCACGAGCAGTTCCGGGCTGCCTTGCAGCTGGTAGTGGACCCTGGCGACCCTCGCTCCTACCTGGACAACTTCATCAAGATCGGCGAGGGCTCCACAGGCATCGTGTGCATCGCCACCGTGCGCAGCTCAGGCAGGCTGGTGGCGGTCAAGAAGATGGACCTGCGCAAGCAGCAGAGGCGCGAGCTCCTCTTCAATGAGGTAGGCCACGGGCCCGTCCCAGCCCCTCCCAGCCCCTCCTGGCCCCTCCTGGCCCCCACCTGTGCCCTCCCGGCCCCTCCTTCCTCCTCCTCCTGCTGCCCTCTACCAGCTGGTCTGGAGGCCCATGCTGGTCCTGCTCCTGTAAGGGTGAGGATGGGAGAAGGCCATTCAGTGCCAGGGTTCCCAGGGCTACGTTTGAGCCTGTCTCCTCACATGTCCCCAGGCTGTCACCTCCCCCCTTCATTGCCCCATACCCACCCCTGCCTCCCTGGAGCCCCAACTCCAGAGCCCCTCAGCCCTGCCCTCGTGGGACTTCCAGGTCCTTCATACCCACCGAGTCCCAAACTGGCCCCCAGAGTCTCTCCCCCAGCCCTGCCCCTCCCCGGTTCCGTCTCCCACCGTAGCCCGTTAGTTGCCGTGCAGGCCCATCCTCTCCCCCCGGCTCTGCCCTGGCGTCCCCTCTTGGGTAACCCCTTGGCATTCCCCACGCAGCAGCTAAAGGGCTCTTTTGGGCCTGCCGGCCTGCCCCTCTGCCCCCCTTACTGACCCTTGCAGCTCCCCTATCCTACCTGTCAGTGTCCTCAGGACATGGGCCTGGCCTCTGGCAGGCGTTTGAGGTCTCCCATCTAGGTCCTTGGTTGTGACCAGTCTCTGGCTGGGGTTCCCAGTGGCATCTGCCAGCTTTTTACAAAGGCCAACTCCTGGCTCCTTCCCCAGAGGAATCCGGGCTGGCAGCAGCCCCTGGACTCCAATGCGGGAGTCCCGGGATGTCAGGTCTGGAGGTGGTCGAAACTGCCTCCTCCTGGTCTCTCAGCTGTCCCTGTAACCCCTCCCCGGCCCCCTAGTCTCCCCGCGCTGCAGCTGCACCGTGGGCTCTTCAGCGGAACCCCAGTGAGTGTCCCGTTCCCATCTCCCCCCGGGCTTTGCTGCCAGGGCTTTTCTTCCCTGAACCCATCCCCCCAGCCTGTTACTCTGCCCTTGGCTGGTACCTCCTTGTCCCGCGGACTCAGCCCCGTGCTTAGACATTCTCGTCCCCTGTCCCTACACCGGCCCGGTCAGCAGGGCCATTCAGAGACCAACCAGCTCAGGACTGGTCAGAGAGCAGGATCAGAAATGGAGTATGGGGGCAGTGAACCCCCACAATGCAGGCATCAGGCCTCAAGCTGCCTTTGGGGTCTCCTGGCCTTGGCACAGGGGAGGGCAGTGACAAATGACAGTGACAAGGAGCGGGAGTGACAAGTGGGCTGGGCCTTTGGTGTGGCAGGGCCCCAGCTCAGGCAGGAGGGGAGGCAGGAGGCAGGCTTGGGGGGTGGCTGGGTTTGCGGCAGGGGCCGGCGGTGCTGACCCCACCCGGTGCCCAGGTGGTGATCATGCGGGACTACCAGCACGAGAACGTGGTGGAGATGTACAACAGCTACCTGGTCGGGGACGAGCTCTGGGTGGTCATGGAGTTTCTGGAGGGCGGCGCCCTCACCGACATCGTCACTCACACCAGGTACTGCCAGACCCCAGGCTCCCTGGGGCCACTGTGTCCTCTCAGGCCCCTCAGGGTTGGGGCCATGTCTCTGGGCCAGGAGGGCGGCATTCCCCTCGGGCCTCCGGTCGCTGACCCCCAGCCCACACAGGATGAACGAGGAGCAGATCGCCGCCGTGTGCCTGGCCGTGCTTCAGGCCCTGGCCGTGCTCCATGCACAGGGAGTTATCCACCGCGACATCAAGAGCGACTCCATCCTGCTGACCCACGACGGCAGGGTGAGGAGCGGGGCGGCTTGGGTTCCCTCTGCCTCTCCCTGGCTCCCCTCCATCCCTGACCCCCAGCTCGGCGGCTTGAGGAGCAAGAAGTTTGTTCACTCCTCAGGCCAACAGCCCCGAATCAGACCCAGTCAGCGGGGGGCTCTGTGCATGCAGTCACGGAGGGGCCCAGGCCAGAGGAGGCTGCGCCTTTGGCCCAGGGTGCCGGAAGCTGTGGTCGAGCACTGGGCCCCGGGAGGCCAAGAGACAGCTGGGGTGCTGGCCGCGGCTCTTCCTCCACCAAGAAGCTGTTCCCAGCTGAGTACGTGGCTGTGGGCCGTGGACCCCGCTCCTGTCTCCGCTTCTTCAGACTGAGGCTCAGACTCAGGCCCACGGATGAGCCCCCCAGTGCCCAGAACCTGCATTTCTACTCCAAGAGTGGACGTGATTTTCAGTGGGAGGGAGTCCTTGACTGTCCCCAAGTTCTCGCTGGTGATTCGCCTGCCTTGCCCCAGGGAAGTGAAGCCATTGGGCAGAGATAGGGGTCAGGGTGGGCTCTCTTTCATGGGGAGTCTCAGTTGGAATCCTCGAACACCTGAAGCTGTCCACAGATGTGTTTGGGGGACATCTGTGAGCCTGAAGTTGTGTGCACGCCGTGTGCATACGTTTCATGGGGGTGAGAAGATCCGCACGTATCCTCAGGAATCGGAAGGGGGCCCGTGGCTCCCAAGCAGGTGGAAATGTGTGGTTCTGGGCATGTGGTGGTTAGCAGAGTAAGTCACAGCTGTCATCCTCTCTGGGCCAGGGCTGCATTCAGGGACGCCGGGGCCCAGGCAAGGGCTTTGGGAGCAAGCTGAGGTCTCAGCCCCCCTACGCAACATTTGGAACCTCTAGGACTCAGGCCACTTACCCCAAAGGCCCCAGGGCAGACCCTGTCAGGAAGGTACACGGTGTGATCTCCCATGGGGAGGTGACACACCTAAGGGCCCCCTTCTGGGAGGAGGCAGAGGGACCCAGTGGTCTGGCTCTAACCTCTAGGCTGCCCCGTGGAGGCACAGAACGTCCAAGGCCAGGGAACTGAGTAGGTAGACACCTCTGACCGCCCCCCACTGCCTGCACCCCGCTGCAGGTGAAGCTCTCGGACTTCGGGTTCTGCGCCCAAGTCAGCAAGGAGGTACCACGGAGGAAGTCCCTGGTCGGCACGCCCTACTGGATGGCCCCAGAGCTCATCTCTCGCCTTCCCTATGGGCCAGAGGTAAACCGGCGGTGGCCTGGTTGTCGTGTTGTCAGCACAGGTTTACACTGTGACCGTCTGGAGCCGCAGGAGTGCTGGGGGTGGAGTGGGGCTGGGGGTTGAGTGGGGCTCGGTGTGGGAGGTGGGTCACTGGGGATGGTCCTATGGGAGAGGAGGGAGGCATGCGTGTATGCACCCATCCCTGATGAGCCCAGCCTGGTGCTGACAAAACCCGCTCAGATTTAGCAAAACCTGAAAGCGCTGGGTCCCAAGAACTGTGACATAGGGGCGAGTGACAGGCTTCAGGCCCGGCCTTCCTGTGCTCTGTCCCTCCCCAGTCCTGACTTGGCCCGGGTAGTCTTCACCCAGGCAGGTGCTCCCCTAGTCAGGGCAGAGCTGGCCTGGCAACTCTGGGACCCCATCCCCCTGCCTGTGAGTACCGGGGTGCTCCTGGCTATTGCCTGTAAAAGTCGTCGTTCTGGCTCTGACTGGCTCAGTTCCTGAGCCAGTTACTGTGTCCCAACCATGCTGCTTAGGCAACCGGCCACAGGACCCTGAATGCTCCCTAGAGCGAGGGAGGGAGGGTGCCGGGTGGGCAGAACCCTTCTGAGGGCTCCCTGGGGGAGGAGCTTGTGGGTCTGGCAAGTTGGGTGTCAGGATGTTTGGGGCCCAAGGACTCCAGGTGGAGGAGGCAAAGGCAGAACCAGCCACCCACCCTGTGGCTTCCCCTAGCACCAGCCCAACGAGCCCAGCTCAGCCCTCCTGTCCCTTTCCCGCTGCAGGTAGACATCTGGTCTCTGGGGGTGATGGTGATCGAGATGGTGGATGGGGAGCCCCCCTACTTCAACGAGCCCCCCCTCAAAGCCATGAAGATGATTCGGGACAATGTGCCACCTCGACTGAAAAACCTGCACAAGGTGGGCCCCCGGGGGGCAGCTGGTGTGTGGGGGGGGACACGCCCTCTGTTTAGGGCTCCCCGCCTCCTCCCCTCCAGGTTCCCTGAGCCCCTACCGTCCCCCAGTGGTTGAGCCTCGGCTGGCTGGCATAGCCGGGTCAGGGAGAGGAGCCTTCTGGGTAGATGGCTCGCCTGGCAAGAGAGGGGTGCTTCTGGGGCCCAGCCACTGTCACCTCCTTGCAAACCTTGAAAATGGAGAAGAAATGAGCCCCTGGGGTCTTTGATGTGTTTCTTTCCTTGGGGCCAAGCTCTAGACACCTGGGGCCTCCTGGCCCCTACCCCCAGGCAGCGGATGTTGTAGGCCCATTTGACAGAGGCGGAAACTGGGGCCCAGTGGCAAGTGAGCAGTGGAGCTGGTGCTCAGACCCATCCCTGACTCTCTCCCCCACCTCCCCAAGGTGTCACCCTCCCTGAAGGGCTTCCTGGACCGCCTGCTGGTACGGGACCCAGCCCAGCGGGCCACAGCGGCTGAGCTGCTCAAGCACCCGTTCCTGGCCAAAGCGGGCCCGCCCGCCAGCATCGTGCCCCTCATGCGCCAGAACCGCACCAGATGAGGCCCAGTGCCCTGTCCCTGAACCAAAGAGCCCCTTGGGTCACCCCGTCCCACCACGGGCCAGTCGGGGAGAGGCCCCCACTTCTCCCCACCCAGGATACACTCCATGTGGCACCGCCCTCCTTGTCGGCGGTCGGGGAGCGTGCAGGACCCTACTACTGAACTCCAGGTTTGATTTTGTGACTTTAAAAAAAAAAAAAACAAAACACAGGGACTTGCGGAAGCAAATGAGGGTTCCCAGCCTCCCCACCCTCCGGGATGGTCCCTCCCTGTGTCTTCCTGTCTTCCAGGAAGGACAGACAGCCCCCCTATCACTGGAAATCATCTGCAGTGGGGGCTGCTGTGGGTGGAGAGAACACTACGAGAGGCGCGCGCGCGTGTGTGTGCATGCACGTGTGCGTGCGCACGCATGTGTGCACACACACCCGTGCAGACGGTCCAGCTGCTCTGTCCTCCAGCCTGCGAGTGGGTGTCTCTAAGGCCTTGCCTGACATACAGCGCAGCCCCCTAACCGCCCCCCCCGAGCCATTGCGGGGGTCGATCATGAATGTCTGAAGAGTGGCCTTTTCCCCAAGTCCTGCACCCCCTCTCGGTGGCTTGCTGGGGAGACGGGGGTCAGGGCTTCCTGCCATCCCCAGCCTCTGCAGATGACTACTGCACCTGGACAGCCTCCTCTTTTCTAGAAGTCTATTTATATTGTCATTTTATAACACTAGCCCCTGTCCCAACCTGGGGACAGATGGTCCCTGCCCCCTTGGGGCAGCACCAGGGACAGAACCACTGCTTGAAGAATCAGGTTCCCAGCCCTTTGGTGCAGCCCCATTCTCCCCTCCCCTTCCTCAAGTTAGTTTTACAATTAAAATGTTTTCTTGTTTTGCGTGTGCGTGTAGTGTGTGTAGTGGCCCCTCCCTGTCCGGGTCATCTTGGTGCGGGACTTGGGGGAGGGACTCAAGGACGGAGAGAGGGCAGGCTGGCGAACCCCAGGATTCCAGTCCATCTTAGGGCAAGGGTCATGTCTTGGGGGGGTGGGGAGCCCCAGGTCGAAGCAGCCCGTAGTGCCCCCCCCCTTGACGGGACCCAGACTCACCCCCTGGCCTGCAAACAGCCAGTCCCCCAGGGTCCGTGTGCTGCAGTGACCAGTTTGCCAAATCGAAGATTTGCTGGAATCTTGTTTTAAAGGTTGTTTGTCTTGAGCATGGTTCGGGGGGTAGGAAGGATCCTTGATGAACTGATGTTAGTAAATGGGTCGTTCAGCGAATCGGTCAGGGGGCAGGTAGGCTTTTGAGGACTCGACGGAGGCAGATGGATCTGGAACAGCCAGCCTTAGGGATACTCCACAGGCCAGATCCCTCCCTCCAAATCGAGTTCCCAGGAGGCTGAGCCTGGGTCTCCACAAGGGGAGAAAGGAATTGGCTGGCATCTTCAGGACGGTGCTGCTTCTGTGTTCTGGGCACTGAGCACCCCAGGCTGGTGTGATCTTGGACTCTGTGTGTCTCCCCCAGAACCCAAGAGGTGGGGGGGGGCCCACCGACAGCTCCCTGGGGACAAGTGCAGCGTGAGCAGCAAACCCCACCACCCACTGGCACCAGGGACCTCCGCCTGCTGTGTGGGCGGGAGACGTGCGGAGATGCTGGCTCGGGTACACTATCTGCGCCCACTCCAGAGCACGCCTCTCCACGGGCCCTGGGTCCCCAAGGCTGGGGTGCCGTGTCTGTGCCTGGAGTTGGCCACCAACAGGCTCCGTCTAGATGGGGACTCAGAGGTCTAAACATCCCCAGGGAAGCAGCTGTTGCCATGTTGAATGTGTTGGGTGCCTGGGTGGAGTTGTTAAGCTCTGGGAAGAACTCTGCCAAAATGGGTATAAGGAGAAACAGAAAACAAGAAAAACCAAAGTAACATCCCCCCCCCACACACACACACCAAAGAAAAAGCCCTGGGCTTGAATGCTTTTACAAATGAGTTCCACCAGACTGAAGGATCACGCAATTCCTACCTTGTACAAACTGTTCCAGAGAACAGGGAAAGGATAGCAGCCCGACTCATTTTCAGAGGCTGGTACGCCCATGATTCCACAACCCAGGAAGAACAGGGTGGCACACAGCCACCGCCCTCCCAACCGGAGGGCCTCGCCTCCCTGGGCCCCTGGGGGCGCTCCAGGACGTTCCACTGCGGGTGAAGGATCTTTCCCCTCCCCCCCACCCTCCGGGGTGGGGGGGGGACAGGAGGTCCCTTGCCAGGTCATTACCTGGTGGAGGAGCCAACATTCAGCTTCATGGGGACTCAACCATGATTGTCACCTTCCATTGCCGTCACTGCAGTTTAAAGGATGGTTTTGGGTAGCCTCGAGAGAGCGCTCCCGGAGGCCCCATACCCCCACTGATCCCAGCCGGCGAGGGAGTCCGCGTCAGGCGTCGGGGGGACAAGAGCGCACTCAGAAGGGCAAGTGTGGCGGAGCAAGAACAGACACCTGCCCCAGCGGCGATATGGCCCTGGGGACCGGCTTTGTCCAGATGGTACTGACCGCACGGCGTCCCACACAAAGTAGTGAGTGCTACCTCAGCGGCAGCAGGGGGCGCTGTGCTCCAAGCTGCAAAGGCCCAGGAGGGGAAGCCCGGGAGGTATTAACCTGTAGATCAGAGGTGTGTTTACAGAGACTCAAAATGAGTAAGTGAAACAAGTCAGACCAGTGGTTCTCCCAAGCGTGGTTCCCGGACCAGCAGCATCCCTGGGAACTTTATGGAAATGCAGATTCCCAGGCCACACCCCAGGCTGAATCATGGGTCCTAAGGACGAGAAGAGGCAGCCACGCCCCCTTAGGGACATGACCCGGATGTTGCGCCGTTGCCTCATTGGACAGAGCTTCGTCACGTGACTGAACCCGGCAGCAAGGGAGGTTGGGAAACGTAGTCTTTATTCTGGGCGGCTGTGTGTCTGACTAAAAATTCTAATACTGTAGAATTGTGATTCTCTACCTCTGCTAGACTCTCCACCTTCATTAAACCTAGACTCCCCGGGTTTCTCTGAAGAGCCCAGAGGCAAGCCCAACTATATTCAAGGATGAGCTTTATATATGACAAGGCTGGCCCCCGTGAAACAAGGAGGGAAAAATAGATTGTTTAATAATAGTGTTGGGGAAATTGGTTCATTTTTCTGGAGAAAAGGAAAACGGGCTCCCTAACATCACGACAAAAGAACCCTAGCTCTGTGCTTCCCGGGAAGGTAGCCACCAACCACATGTGGCTATTTAATTTTAAATTAACAAAATAAAATGAAACAGTTCGGTCCCTTAGTAGCACTAGTCACATTTCACAGCCTCCACTGTCACATGTAACCAGTGGCTACTAACTAGACTGTTTAGATATGAGAACTTTTCATTATCTGAGTTCCCCTGGAGAAAGTTTCTCTGATGGATTAAACATCCTCTAAAAGACAAACTATGAAGGTGACAGAAGAAAATACTTGATGACCAGCAGCAGAGAGGGACTTCTTAAAACTCCAGTGGAACAAACTGTCAAAAAAAAAAATTAATTGAACTTGTGAAAATGTAAAGCTTTTGTTCAAAGAAGGACATCATGGCCAAATGTAATAGGCTTCAGAAAGGGGAAAAATTTTTTTTCAGAGTCTAACATGTATCAGATTTTTTTTTTTTAATGAGAAAAGAGCAACCCAAATAGAAACATGGGCAAAGAATATAAACAGGCAACTTACAGAAGAAAAAAACCCAAAAGACCAATCAGGGTGTGCACAAGGGCTCAAACTTACTGGTAATCGGAGGAAGGCACATTTCAACACACTGTCCTTCTACCATGAGCCTGGTAAAAATTCAAGTCTGGTTTAGTCAAATGAATTATCGCATGTATGCATCTCGCAATAATTCCACTCCTGAATCCCTTCCCAAAGAAATCATGGGACCCTATGGGGGAGCACACATGGGGATGTTCACTGCAGCAGTGTTTATGGGGTGGGAGCTGGAGGTGGCCTGTGTGCCGTGTGTCCACTCTAGGGCAGCAAATGGGAGACACAGGGGCCACACGGCAAGGACTCCAGTGCAGTCCTCGGGAGCCAGGGACCAAGTGTGCCCATGGGGAGGGAGAGCCAGACCAGTGATGGGGAAAGTAAAGTCAGGATCTATACCAGGCCACGTGTGTTGATTACAAATTAGGAACATAAAACTGTAATACCCGTTTTTCAAGATTTAAAAAGGTGACTCATTTACATAATAGAATGGCTCCCCGTGGGGAAGGAGGAGAGAGAGGGAATAAAGAGGAAGAATAAATGAACATGAGAGGAGTCTTCGGGAGGAATAAAAGCCTTGAAGGTCATGCTGAAGGTCTGTCCTATGAACAAAGGGTGTGGACTGGGGCAAGGTCACAGGTATTTAAAGGAAAATTATCCAGGTGATTTTTGTTTTTAAGACTTTATTTATTTGACAGACAGAGATCACAAGTAGGCAGAGGCAGGCAGAGAGAGAGGAGGAAGCAGGCTCCCCGCTGAGCAGAGGCCTGATGCAGGGCTTGATTTGGGGCTCGATCCCAGGACCCTGAGATCATGACCTGAGCCGATGGCAGAGGCTTAACCCACTGAGCCACCCAGGTGCCCCAAGAAATCCCCATTTTCATGTGACAGTTCTTGAATCTTAAAGATAGGCAACCAACTCAGCGTGCCGAACAGTATCTGTGGGCCCAGCAAGATCAAGGGCAGAGCTAACATACCTCAAGATCGTAAGTGGGGGTAAGGGGGCCACCTGGGGGGGCTCAGTTGTCTGAGCCTCCGACTCTTGATTTCTGCTCAGGTCAGGATCTCAGGGTTGTGAGACTGAGTCCCAAGTAGGACTCCAAACTCAGCGGGGAGTCTGCTGGGGATTCTCTCCCTCTGCCCCTCCCCGCTTCCCTCTCTCTCCCAAATAAATAAATCTTAAAAAAAAAATAGTAAGACAGTGTCCAGGGCTTCATTGAGCACCTAGTTTACCCCATTTAACCCTTTCGTGCTTTGAATGGTGCCCCTGCCACTGGAACCTGTAAATTCAAACCTAGGTGGATAAAAAGGGCCCTTGCCTTGAGGCTGTGATGAAGGATTTTGCGATGTGAGATCACTCTGGGTTATCCGGCTGGGGGTGGGGCGGCAATGTCCTTAGAAGAGAAAAGCAGGGGCGCCTGGGTGGCTCAGTCATTAAGCATCTGCCTTCAGCTCAGGTCTTGATCCCTGTGTCCTGGGATCAAGCCCCACATTGGGCTCCCTGCTCGGCGGGAAGCCTGCTTCTCCCTCTCCCACTTCCCCTGCTTGTATTCCCTCTCTCACTGTCTCTCTCTGTCAAATAAATAAATAAAATCTTAAGGAAAAAAAGAGGGGGGAGAAGAGAAAAGCAGAG